ATCTTACTTCTATCATTGACAGTCCCTCTAGGTTGTGGGCTGCTTGCCTGTGTTCCTGAGAAGCATCTATGGTACCAGTCTATAGAGTGTGTTTTCTTTAGTGAATTACCGGTATGTTTACCGGTAATAAACTTGCACTGTTTTATGTATATGTTTGATTACATACAGCCTTGTGACAGTTTTCCTGCATGTCATAAGCATTTGAATATAAATTAAAATGTTAAAATCAAATCTGATATTGTTTTACCTTTTATTTGGTGTGTGGAAGGTGTGCGGAAGAGGGGGTAGTCTTATACGGCGAGTATATAACAAACTCTGTATTTTGAGTGGAAATGTTAGGGGGTCGTCTTATACGCCCAATCGTCTTATACGCCGGCAAATACGGTATTTTAACACTTACTACCTGTTTTGTTCTAAGGAAAAGAATAGTCATTGTTTAGGGAAACACCTTGATGACTTGAGAACAGGGCACGAAACCTAAGTATGGTATTTGGAGTTAAGACAGTGAAACTGTTCTGTGTATGAAGCAAAGATAAATTTGGGAGTATGGACAGTCCTCAGAGAGCAAAGAGAGATGGATAGAGGAGAGAACTGAAGACTGTTAAAGTAAACAATTCTTAAGGAATTTTCTGCAGAGAGAGTCAGAGAAATGGAGTGGTACCGGAAGTAACCAAGAGAAGGTTATTTTGGGTTTAAAGATGAAAGAAACAAAAGTGTGTTCGATGCTGATGGAAAAGCTGTAGCAAATCAGACAGTGATGTGGAAGAGAGGTGGAAGCCAGAGAGAGGGGAGAAGCACATGGAGTGATAACTTTAATGGGAGGAGAGGACAGGGCCGCTGTGCAGAGAGAGACATTGAGCTTACATGGGGTGCATCTATAACTGCGCTTTCCCATCTGTTAGCAAAGTGTCCCCTGGGGACTTGAGATGTGTTGTAAATGCAAAATACACACTAAATACACACTGGATTTCTAAGATGTGGCACCCAAAATGCAAAATATTGAATGAATGATTTTTACACAGATTAAATATTGAAATTATGTTTTGTATTTTTTGGATTAACTAAATGTGTTATTGAATTTAATTTTACATTTTTTTCCTCTCTTTAATTTGGACACTAGAAAATGTAAAATCACTCATGTGGCTTACTTTAGATTTCTATTTGACAGCATGGGTCTATATATGGGATGGCTCATTCACCTATGCATTTCTATGGCTGCTTTCACATTGGGTTGAGTACTTGCAACAGAGATCAGATGGCCTGAAAAACCTTAAATGTTCACACTCTATATCCTTTTTTCTAAACACCTTTGCTGACCCTTTTGTCCACAGTAATGGGCAGGAAGATGAGCAGGTTTGTGGGTACTGATGTATTTTCTGTATAACTGCATTTAATTCTCCTAACAATGGCAAAATGTAGGTACTGTTTTATAAAGATGGAAACAAGATTAAGAAAAGACATGCTTAGAGTAACAGCAATAAAGGTATAGGTCAGGAACTTATAAAAGCCCTAAAGAGAGCTACGTTGGAACCCAGAGGAGCATTGGTCAAGAGGGATACTTACCATTTTCCTGCAATCAAAGGAGGACCTGAACACACATAAGGGGTTGATAGCCATATCTGTGATGAGGAGCATGATTCCAACCATAGAGAAGATTGCACTGACGATACTCATGCCCATGCTACCTTTCAGCTAAAGAAGACACAGAGGGTCAGTATGAGAGAGGAAAACAATTATAGCTGAGATGAGCAGAGATTCAGCAAATACTTCATAATGTGAATTCCTGGAACCCTAGATGTGAGGCAAGTAAAGAGATATATTGTGCAAAATAGGTTTGGTGGTAAATTAACTTTGAAAACACCTGGGTTGCCCTAACCGGTTTGACTCAGTGGATAGAGCGTCGGCCTGCAGACTGAAGGGTCCCAGGTTCGATTCCGGTCAAGGGCATGTACCTTGGTTGCGGGCACATCCCCAGTAGCAGGTGTGCAGGAGGCAGCTGGTCGATGTTTCTCTCTCATTGATGTTTCTAACTCTCTATCCCTCTCCCTTCCTCTCTGTAAAAAAAAATCAATAAAATATATTAAAAAACAACAACACTAGGGTTGCACAAAGTTGGGTCTTTTGTGCAGGACTTCTCAAACCTTTAAGAAGGAATATGGATCCACTGGAGAAGAGACTACTAAATAGAGATCCCTCCCAAGTTATATAACCATTTCATAAAGTATCTCATGGGACAAGTATCCCCAAGAATAATGTTTAGGAATCACTGGACTCATTTATCCCACAGCACATGGATAGAAGACTCAACCAAAGTGTTTTGGTATGTGACCGGCTCTGAAGCTCCATGATTCTGGTCCATGTGCAGAATGACATGCCCAGAATTGATCTTCCCTGTGGAGTTTTTAAATAGATTTCATCTGTTGTGGGACCAGGCCATGCTAGGGTCTTTCTCTAGATAACCAGCTTGTGAGAGAAACAACGGTACTCTCTTGGTCCAATACTTGGGGCCAGCAAGCTTTGCCCATGTTAATTGACAGAACTTGTTAGGAAGGATTCCTTTGGGAAGCTGCTGCCTGAGCCTCCTCTGGCTTCCCTGTAGTAATGTCTGGCACTGGGCTCTGTGTGCTGCAGGCAGTCGGTGCCTGCTCTGCTGGAGGGCAGCCCTGCACCCCTGGTTGTTTTTTGCCTCCCCTTGTAAGATCCTCTTAGGAAAGTTATTCTCTCTGTCTCTCCACACCCTGAAGCTGCCCTTCTTTCCACCTAATCTTCTGGACACTTTCCCATTTGTGACTCTGTCCAGGTTCATGTGGTCTTGTGAGTATGAGTGAGCATGCGTGTCAGTGCCCTGTGTCTGGTTTTAAGTAGGTTCAAGGATGAAGGAGACATTGTGTGTGAACTTCTTTCCCCTGTTGTGTGTCTCCCCTAAGGGTCCATGGTTCAGAGAGCCTGTCTCAGGATGGGACTTACCAGGCAAGAAGATCTTGGTAGCTGTTCTGATGCCACTGAGAGGGATCCTGAAATGATGAACTGATGCAGAAGAGAGGGAGTTTAAAAAGAGGTCAGTGGTCAGAGACCCACCTTCAGGCTCCATGCTTCTGGTCACACATATATTCCTCACACATGCTAGGATCCTCTGTTGGGATCTCCTACTCAACTTGGGGAAAATAAATGAAGGAAGGAAGGAGGGAAGGAAAGAAGGAAGGAAGGAAGGAAGGAAGGAAGGAAGGAAGGAAGGAAGGAAAGAAGGAAGGAAGGAAAGAAGGAAGAAAGGTGATTTTGTACCACAGGGCAGTGACTAGGGATAAATATATATTTTAGAATCCAGTATACCAGTTTTTAAACTCTAACTTGAAACTCATGTGATCTTGTGTAAGTTAATAAATTTTTCTTAGTGTATATTTCCTCTTCAAAAAATGAGGAAGACTATATGTCTTCCTAAGTGTTATTATCATGAGATAATTTGTCCCTTGCTTCTAGCATTTGGCGTATCTTGCCCATGGTAGATTCTATACATAGTAGATACTCAATACAATTACTTCTTTTCTTGCCTTTTATTTTCCCACAGGCACATATTGTTGGCCTCCTAAAATGATTCACTCAGGCATGGGCACTCTGGAAGGAAGAAGGAAGGGGTTCCCACATTTTCACTGCTTTGAGATATCAGCCCAATGTATCTTTTAGTTCAGGGGTCCTCAAACTTTTTAAACAGGGGGCCAGTTCACTGTCCCTCAGACCATTGGAGGGCCAGACTGTAGTTTAAAAAAAACTATGAACAAATTCCTATGCACACTGCACATATCTTATTTTGAAGTAAAAAAAACAAAACGGGAACAAATACAATATTTGTATTTGCATGTGGCCCGCGGGCCGTAGTTTGAGGACCCCTGTTAGTTACTCCAAAGAATGTTGCATCTCTGCAATGTAGTACATCAACTATGAGGGCTACAGGGTGCAAGGATGTTTGTATTTATTTCAACACTGATGTTCTGCAGGCATAGTGGCTGATGGGATTCTCTGCTATCAGTGAGGGTTTGAGAGGGTATCAGCAATGATTTAATGGAAGCTTTGCTCAGCCCTACATGAACTGTTTTTTCATTACTTAACTGCATAATGCCCCATCAAGCACCATTATTATTCCTATTTTATAGAGGCTTACAGATTTTGAATAACTCACCCAAGAGCATTCAGCAAATAGTATATCTGGGAATCAAATTCAAGTATTTGACCCCAGATCTCATGTTCTTAACCCTCATCCTGCACTCATTCCACCTCAAGGTAGATGCATGTGGCTTAGAATGGAAATGGAGATTCACAATGAAAACTTACTCTAGCCAACTGTGCCTTCTAAGAGGAATGCCATTTTTCCTATAAGTGGGAAAATGAGTCTCAATTTTATGTGCTTCTATTTCTACAGACTTTGTAGGAAAGGAAGGAAACAGAAGACTGGACTTCTGGTGTCCATGCTGGTCCTCTTAAAGTGCCTAAAGAGAGGGTCTTTGGTTTGGAGGAGGACCATATGATCTTTAGGAAATAGTCCTAGAGTCAGTAAGCAACACAGAGCAAAAGTGCCCTGCAGGAAGAAGGGAGGGTGGTGTCATGAGGGCTGATGGGACCTAAGCAACCTGGTGGAAGGGAAGATGGCCACCAAGGCCTTTGAGATGCCTTAAGAGAATCTAACACTCAGTAGGAACTGTTTTGTGGCTGTGGTGTTAGTCTTCTCCATTTCCCCAAACTCTACACAAGTCTATTGTACACACAGGTGTCTGTGGTTGGCTGAGTTCAAGTGTGGGTCTGTGCTGAACAGAGGGAAGACCTCAACCTCAGAAGATGAGAACAAGACAGAGCAGGTGCTCAGATAAGAATGCTCCCAAGGCCGAATCCGGTTTGGCTCAGTGGATAGAGCGTTGGCCTGCGGACTGAAAGGTCCCAGGTTCGATTCCGGTCAAGGGCATGTACCTTGGTTGCAGGCATATCCCCAGTGGGGAGTGTGCAGGAGGCAGCTGGTCGATGTTTCTCTCTCATCGATGTTTCTGATTCTCTATCTCTCTCCTTTCCTCTCTGTAAAAACTCAATAAAATATATTTTTTTTTAAAAAAGAAAAAAGAATGCTCCCAAGAACCTAAGCCCTGCCATTTGCAGATGCTGTGTGTGTGTGTGTGTGTGTGTGTGTGTGTGTGTGTGTGTGTGGTGGATGACTCTGGGCTATTTTTATTTAAATCTCATGGTGTATGGTGACTTGGCTGATGTCCAGGTTACTCTGGAGTTTTTCTATTTGGAAAAAAGTTGCCTTGGGTCACAGATATGTGATTTGAGAGAAAAATTGTGTTTTGGCAGGTAGAGACAGACAGGGTTGGTGGGAGAGAGACTGAATTGCATGTGTGTGTGTGTGTATGTATTTGTGTGTGTGTGTGTGTGTGTGTGTGTGTGCAGTGCGCCTGTGGAAGAGGGAAGACACTAAGAAGAATGGAAAACAATCATAAAGGCAATACATTGGAAAGAGAAAGGACTTTTGGTTCTTCACTTTAAAGAGGTTCCAGATCACCCTGAAAATGTAATAAAAACTGTGGACTTTTCCAGAAAAAAAAATAACATCTAATATATTTTGCAACAAGGTGGACTCTGAGCCCATCAGAGGACTCCAGGTTGAGTTCCCACTGCTTACTGTCTGTTCTGTGGCTAGGCATCCACTCTTAACCTTTGATGGAAACGTTTTTCACCTGGAGCACCAGCTCTGAGCCTGAGTCCAATAGCATTTGAGCACTTGGATAATGAACTAGGAAAAGGTTTCCTAATCTCTGAGGTGGGCTAATTAGGAAGCTGCATGCTTTGGGGCAATGGCACCTTGCAGGACTGTCACTTGATATATGAACTGAATTTTGTCTCCTCATAATCCATCTTTTGAAGTCCAAACCTCTAGGACCTCCAAATGTGACTGTATAGACATTTCTAGACTCACTATACTTTGCTTTATGATTTTTTTGACTTTACTGTGGTGTGAAATGATATGCATTCAATAGAAACTGTTCTTTGGATTTTGAATTTTGACCTTTTCCTGGATGAGTGCTATTTGCTAAGATACTCTCTGGTGATGCTGGACAGAAGCAGCCAGCCTCAGCGCCCTGTCAGCCACACAATCACGAGCCTAAACAACCCATTCTCTACATGTAGTACTTAATGCATTTTGACTCAGGATATTTTCAATTTATGATGGGTTTGGGGGGATGTAGCCCCATCGTAAGTTAAAGAGCATCTGTATTTGAAGATAGGACCTTTAAGAAGGTGGTTAGTACTCAGCCATAAGAAAGGATGACATAGAGTCATTTACAAGAACATGGATGGACCTTGAGAACATTATGCTAAGTAAAATAAGTCAGACATAAAAAGCTAAAAACCATTTTATTTCACTCATATGTGGAATATAAAATTGAAACTTATGAACAAAGACAGCAGTGTCATGGTTGCCAGAGGAAGGGGAGTTGGGGGAATAGGGGGTCCTAACATGAGGTGACAGGAGAAGATTTGCCTTTGGGTGGTGGGCACATAGGGCTATATACAGATTTTATAACTTAGAAATTCACACATGAAACATATATGTTCATGTTGACCAATGTCATCCCAATAAAATTTCATTTAAAAAAATAAAGATGATTAAGGTTAAATGAATTCATATGGGTGAGCCCTAAAACAATTTGAGTGATATTCTAATAAGTAGAGATATGAACACAGACACACACAGAGGGAAAACCATGTGAAGACACTGGGAAGAAGATGGCCATCTACACTCCAAAGAGAGAGGCCTCAGGAGAAACAACCCTGCCCACACCTTGATCTTGGACTTCCAGCATCCAGAGCTATGAGATAATAAATGCCTGTTGTTTAGCCACCGAGTCTGTGGTATTTGTTCTGGTTTTCCACATGAACTAAAGTGCTTGGTGAACAAGGCCTGAGCTGAGTTCACAGCCCGCGTGCTCTCTGGCTGAAAAACACATGCAGCAAAGTACACAACTTGCCAGTGTGTTGGCACTTTCTGGAACTCACTTGCAGGGCCACTGACATTACTTACCAAGATGCCTCCCCAGAAGGGATAGCCTCCGTAGAATGAGACTGCGATGTAGTACCAGAGAACCATGCCTATGACACTGCCGAGGCCAAAGTGTATCAGGCCGATCAGGATCTGGATGGCCTGTCAGGGGAGCCAAAAGCAGAGGCCTTAGTTTCTGAGGCCAGATTTTAACCCCTGCACTCTTGGGCTTCCTTTTTATTTTAATAAATATTTTGTTCTGTTAGTCAATAAAGTCATATTTAAAATGTACTAATGAAACAATACTTCCCACAATTGCCCCCCAACTCAAAAAAAAAAACACAATCATTTACATTTTGGTGCATAACCTTCCATTATTTTTTTAAATATACACACTGATAATACAAAAAGGCTCCGCACATTTAACTTAATATTTCATTATGAAAATGTCCGTATGGCATTAAGTATTCTTTAAATGTATGTTTTTTAAGGGCTGCCCATATTCCATTATGTGGATGATCTGTGGGGGATTAAGACCAAAGATATTGGGCAGGTATAATATGTTTTCATATTATAAACAACACTGCAATAAACATCTTTGTAAATAAGTCTTTGTGCTCATCTTTTATTTCTTTGGGATATTGCTTTAGATTGAATTGTGTCTTCTTTCTCTCATCAAGTTTATATATCTCTATTTATTAATCTTCATCTGAGGATTTTTTTTCATTGATTTTTAGAGAGAATGAACTGAAGGGATGATGGAAGACAAAGAGAGATAAAGAATAAGAGAGAGGCCAAAACCGGTTTGGCTCAGTGGATAGAGCGTCGGCCTGTGGACTGAAAGGTCCTGGGTTCGATCCCGGTCAAGGGCATGTACCTGGGTTGCAGGCACATCCCCAGAAGGAGATGTAAAGGAGGCAGCTGATCGATGTTTCTCTCTCATCGATGTTTCTAACTCTCTATCTCTCTCTCCCTTCCTCTCTGTAAAAATTAATAAAATATATTTTTAAAAAAAGAATAAGAGAGAGAAACACTGATATGAGAGAGACACATCAATTGCCTGTCTCCCACTCTTGACTGACTGGGGCTGGGTACTGAACCTTCAACCCAGGTACCTGACCTTGATTGTGAAACAAACCTGCAACCCTTTGGTGCACATGCCTACACTCTAACCACTGAACAACTCTGGCCAAGGCTCATATTAATATATTGAAGTTAAAACCTCCAGTGACTTTGAATGGGATCTCATTTGGAAATAGGATTGCTACCGATGCAATTAGATAATATGAGATATACTGGAATAGGGTGGCCCCTATGACTGCTATCTTTTCAAAGGAATGCCATATGAAGAAAAACATGCGCACCCAGGAGAATGCCAAGATGGGAGTTATGCTGCCAGCCAAGGACCTACTGGAAGCTGGGAGACTGGCCTGGAACAGATCTACCCCTAGAGCCTTCAGAAGGGGCATGGCCCCATGAATACTATGATCACAAACTTCTGAACTGAGACATTAAATTTCTTGTGTTCTAAGACCCCTGGTTATTAGTACTTTGTTATGGCAGCTCTAGGAAACTATCATAGATTCTTGCCCAAATGATAAATATGTTTTTATAGTACAAACATAACAGAAAATACAAATATATTATTTCATTAAATTTGCACAAATGTTAGAAAATCATACAAAATGTCTGCCCCAAATTCTTTTTCTCATTAATGATATAGCTTGGAAGTATGTCCATATCATTACTCAAAGAACTAGGGAGCTTTATTTTTATTAAAATATATTTACATAGTATTTAAAATATGTTATCATTGATTTCCGAGAGAGAGGAAGGGAGAGGGAGAAATTGAGAGAGAACTACTGATGAGAAAGAAACATTGATCAGTTGCCTCCTACTGGAGATAGAGTCTGCCACCAGGCATGTACCCTGACTGGGAATAGAGCTGGCAACCACTGAGTACATGGCATGACGATCAACCAACTGAGCCACACTGGCAGGGTAAAAAGCATCCTTTTTATAGCTCCATCACATTTCATTCTTTAGACATGTAACATATTGATTTAACCAGTGTTATATTAATAAATATTTTGGTTATCCTCATTCTTTTCCTATTATAACAGGGTATAGGATATTTTAAAAAATCTCACGTCTAATTGACTAATCAAAGATTAAAAGAATCTTATCTAATAATAGACAAACATGGTAATTAACTGTACCTCTGACACACTTCCCATAGGCTAATCAGGGCGATATGCAAATTAACTGCCAACCAAGATGGCGACCGGCAGCCAGGCAGCTGAAGCGAACAGGAGGCTTGCTTGCT